GTATGTTAAATTACCATGTTGCCATTAATGATTGACCAGATTTTGATTTAATCCTAACCTTGATATGATGTATCCAATGATCTATATATATATATAGGGTCGCGCTCACATGAGAATGGTGTTTAATGCGAGAAATAAGAATAAATTTTAACCATCGGATCGGATGATCTAATGGCTAATAAAAAAGTCAAATCTATACCTTCATTAAGGGTATTGTGGTATTTTTCTATACTACATTCAAAGAGGTGGGACCCATTCCATATTAATACACCTATCAACTACCTGCCACCTACCCTCAACCAGCCCACCCCACCCACCATCCCCACGCGTTATCTCTCTCACACATACACACACACACAATAGATACACCAACACACGCAGACAAATACGGACACCGCCGCACAGCCCATCGCCTTCCCGACCTCCCTCCGGCGAAGCCGCACATTCCATCTTCTCATCTCCGACGACTCTCATCTCTGCGCAGACCATACATACGCCGCCGCACATCCCATCTCATCATCTCCGACCTCTCTCCGGCGCACCACCTGCCGCCGCCGCCGCCTCGCCGCAGACCCGACGCAAACTGCTGCTTGTCACGTCTCCATCGCGATGCCATCGTCGTCGTCCAGTCCTCAAGCACCCAGTCCGACATCCGCCACAAATCTGCTGCCCCGACCTCCGCCACAAATCTGTTGCCCCGACCTCCGCCACAAATCTGCTGCCCTGACCTCCGCCACAATTCTGCTGCCCCGACCTCCGCTGCCGTCGCCTTGACATCCCCCGCCTCTTGCAGCTCAAACCACGCCTTCTGAGATTCGAAGTGAGAGGTGGTGATACGGGAGATTGAAATTCTCAAAAGTGAATTGTGGAATGGGGTCTCTTATTTGAGAATTTGATTATGCCTAAGGACCTATATGCAATTTTAATAACTTTATTTGTATTTCAATTTACCCCATGGGTCAAATGTATAATTATTGAAAGTTAATAAAAATAAAAGTATTTCTTATACAAATTGTTATTCATATATCTAATAATAAATTAAATATTACATAAGAATAATATAAATATCAAAATAATATTTAATTAATTTATATTAATTAGTCAAGTATATAATAAAAATAATAAATAGAAAGATATTTTATTTATGTAGGTTAATTCCATGTACAATTATATATTAAAACTAGTTTTCAAATGCACATAATTTATATAGAAATGTATAAATTAGTGCACTTTATATAGTAGAATGTTGCACTTTATAAAACAACATGTTGCACTTTATAAAACAACACATTGCACTTTATCGCCTCAATCCACAATTAATATTAATTGTTGCCACCAAAATATTACTCAATATAAATCTATAAAACGTATCTACATAATATTTCAATATCCATCACATAAAAAAACATAAGAATGCTAACGTATCAAGATTTCATTATTGCACCTTATATATCTATATGTTGCACTTTATACAGTAGTACATTGCACCTTATAACACAACATGTTGCACTTTATAACATAACATGCTACGTCTACTGAAATTGCAGTAATAATGCTAATTGATCAAATAATATTATTTGGTTAAAGGTCGGGTTTAGTTTTTTTAAATAAACAAAATAACCAAGAATGTCGAATTATATGAAAAATATTACTGATTTTTTTTCCTATTTTTCTATGAAAACTAATAATATTTTTTATATCTATACTTTTACGTATTGCTATTGCACGTTAGGGTTATATGGGTTGCACGTAAATGCCTATTAGGTTGCACAAAATCGGACGAGATCAACGAATAGATATTCGGTACGAAAATTATATTTGAGTCAATTATTATTATTATTTTTCATATATCGGTTATTTCGGTATGATTTCAATTTTTTTATTCAAATAACCAAAATAAAAAAAAATACTATATTAAAAATAATAATTTCTATTTTTTAGTTAAATATCCAAAGTAATCGAACGACCGAACTACATAAAAAATACTATTAGTTTTTATTATTGTATTTTTATGTATACTCATTTCATTAAAACGTGTGAATTTTTAAATGTGTATGAATCGAGAAAACTATGATTTCGTAAAAAAATGGCTTTTTTTAATATGTAGATTCCCACATAATAATGTGCAATTTAGGCAACTTTAATGTGCATTAATTATACTTTTATTATATTACAAATTGGCCTCATATGTTAAATTGAAATAACAGAAACTTGAATAAATTGCAATTAAGCCCCTATAATATATCAAATTTCCAAATATTAACCCCACAATTCCAAAAAGCAATTTCAACACCATCGTCGTCCACCTTCGTCGGAGCTCAGCCCCGGAAGTTCCAGTCACCGGCGTATGGTCACCGCCGTCGTCTTCATCGCCCAATACGTGACGCTGCCACAACCCGCCGCTAGGAACTCGACGTCTCCATCTGCTCAGAAAAAAAAAGAAAAAAAAAACCGAAACTGGCCATTCACGCACAATCGTCGCCTTTGTGCGGGTTACGGGAAAGAAGGCGGTGGCGACGCTGCCGCGGGAGCGAAGTCCGGCGACGACATTCATTTCGAATGTCGGAAAAAGCTGGTTCGCCGGTGGCAATGACTTGGATGGCGGATGTCGGGTCGCTGAGGAAGGTTTGATGACGACGTGGACCGACGTTCTTCTGTTGCCGTGGGGAGGCGTGGTTTAACGGTGAACATCCGTCGTGAATTTTTCAGATCGGTGGTGGAGAGAGGGAGAGAAAGATGAGCGACGGAGAAAGAAGAGAGATACAGATAGATACAGAGAGAGAGAGAGAAAAGAGTGAGAGAGAGAGAGTTGGACCGATAATTGGTGTGTGTGGGGCCCAATGTCATGTGTGGTAAATGTGTAATGTCCATATTGTCCTTAATTATTGGTCAAATGTGTATATTTGACCACAATGTATGTTATTTTACCATATTGCCATTAATGATTAACTAAATTTTGACTTGATCAAAGCTATTGATATGATAGATCCAATGATCCAGACTCATTCTCATTTCTCACATTAAGAGTCATTCTCATATGATCCTTTCTATATATATATATATATATATATA